GGTTTTCTTGAAGTGCACCTACCCTTCTGGCGGGAAGGCTTGCTGGGATTGCTGGGCAGGTTTCTCCTGGAGGGTCCCATCTCTCTGGAGTAGCTGCAGTGGAGTTGAGGGCAGGTTCTCCGGTGAGGTAGGAATGTGCAGGAACTCCGCCCTCTGGGCACAGTCACACAAACCCAGCAAAACAGCCACAGCCAGCCCTAAAACCTCTAATGATCTTCACCTTCACCTCTTTCTAACCCAGTTCGCCACCACTTTTTGACCCATTTACCCAGGCACCTTCACCGCGGGGCGGGGAGGGCGGGGGGTGCATTCGAAACGAGAACATTTCCGTGCACAAAACTGCCAAGAAGCTACCACAGACACTACTGCATGGATAGACCCCTCTGTAGGGTTGTGTGTGTCTATATGTATGTATACATATTTATTGCCATTCGTTGAATTTGTAGTCGTGTAATATGTATGCGCATATACTTTCTTTCTTGGGCGGGTGTATTATTCGCGATTGTACAATTGAGTACATAGCAGTGACTATCTGCAGGCAGAATTTTTTTTTTCCCCCGTCCTAAGGGAAAATACGAATAATTAAAGAATATAATCGCTAATAAAACAGTGAGTCTTGCTCAATGTTCTTTCTTAAGCAAAACTCTGATGTGGTTCAGTCAAAACTTCACCGGAGTTCAGTGGGAGTTTTGCTTGAGTGAATAGTGAATACGTGGTGATTGAGACCTCATATTAACACAAGTGGTGAGGGGGTGTGTACCTGAATCATAATTTCTGACATAAATCTAAATAATCGTCAGAAGAAGTTGTAAAGAGCAAAATGACGTCCCGGTTAAATTATTTTTTTCAAGCACCGGATTAAAAAAAAAAAATATATCACTCCTCCAAACAGTAGTTTTGTGCCGCTTAAGGCAAAATATATTATTGTTCACTTTCTTTTAAACCCCGTCGTAAGAATACATTCCACATAATGGATGCTATTTTACTGAAACAAAGAAAAATATTTAAAATATGTCGAAACCTGGTTGGCTAAATATCACATTGTGGATTCGAGTTACAGTTTATTATCCCTCAAACATGTTTGCAAAGGCAATCTTAAAATCGTAATGGGAGGTTTCTTGACGAGCAGATTTCTTCTTTCACGATCTATGTGAGCGAAGTTAATCACCTCAAACATCAACTAGGAAAATAACAATAGCTGCTTAATTCCATAAAGACCACCCGTTCCCCATAACCACTCTAAATTAGGAAACGCTAAAGAAACGACGCTAAGACACCGCAACATTCTGGAAATGTGCATATTTAAAAAAAAAAAAAATCCTAAAAGCTTAGCTTGAGGATTTGACATATAAAACACCATGGAAACAAGTATCAGATAACAGAATTATTGCTGCTTACCACCCCCCCAACAAAACAAACAAAAAAACCTCCCCCCCCCAAAAAAAAAAAAAAAAACAAAAAAAAACAAAAAAAGAATTAAAAAACCCCAACCAAACCCACCACCTCACTTTCAGTACCGAACGATCCTGTGTAAAGATCAGCCTAAAAGACATCCTCAGCGAACAAAAGGGTTTCTCTGGCTGGGGAGCAGGCAAAGGTAAAGGCATATTTGGGGCCTTGGCAATCCTGCTACAACCCATGAGAACTTTAGCATCTTTTTTTCCCCCCTTTACAAAGACAGACTCATTGCTGGTAATACGTGTATGGAAACGTGAATAAATTACAGCTCAACAACCACCCCTTCCCCCAGTGTAAGAGAAAGAGGGAAAAGTCTGTGGCACCTGAACTGCTTAGGCAGCACTTTGCTACTCTAAACCTAAAGGAGAGCATTGAGAGCGAGTGCTTGCTTAAACGAAGCCTGGAGACACATACATCAGGGCTACCCTTTTCAGGAATTATTATGCATCACGCTTATCTAATTAATGCTTATTAGCCAACCCCAAACTCTGACATGGTGAGGTTGTGCTGTCCTCCAACCTGACTTGTCTCTTTCCTCCTTTTAGGACACTGTCAGCGGACTTTTTTACATTGCGAACTAAATAATACTTTAAGTACGTGCTATTGGATCTCCTACAGTATACAACCAATTGCAAATGGTAAATAATAAATCAGTTCCTTTGTCAGCTGCAGCGAATGCCATTCTTTTAATTTGCTTAGGCACAAGCATACAGACTGGGGTCCTGAGTCTTCAAGAGTTTAAATCACACCTATTTCATTTTATTATTTCCAATCGGTTTGTTGCAAAGGAGTTTTGGTTTTTTTATTTTTTTTGCGATCACTTCTTTTAATGACAATAGAGTGAAGAATATGGGGGAGGGTAGGCGCTTCCAAGTGGTGGTATCATCTCTTCATTCCCAAACAAAGCAACCTTTTTCTCATAGTGATGATTAATTTGGAATTGCAGAAGTGAGAGTGAAAGCCAAGAATATCAAAGATTTCTCTCCTTCTCCCCCACATAGTGCAGAGCTGGGTGCCCCATCTCTCATCCATAACCTTTCACTCCTCTCTCTTTCCTGCAGATCTGCTTGCATCTGTTTATTTATTACTTATTTTCGGAAGATTTCCCCTCCTTCCCCTCATTCTTTCAGCATGACAAATACTCTGTTTGCAAGATTTCAGATTTGCTATTGCTTCTTTATTCACCCCCCGGCATGTTTTTTTTTTTTTTTTTTTCCCCCTCTTTTTCTTTGTCTTCCTCTTTTCTGTCTTTCTAAGATCAGCTCTTTAAAGTGTTTGCGATAACATCTCCGAGCTGGAGATTATTTTTCATTGGGCCTATTGTGAGCAGCCGCCGGCTTATTGCACTGCTGCAGAGCCCCGTTTAGACTACACAAATGTAACAAATGAACAACTTGTCCTCTGCGGACTCACCGCGGGATCCAATTAGTTCCTAAACCTTTTGCACAAGTTTTCTAATTATTTTCAAGAGTTGCGGCTTTTATAGGCTTCCTTAAACTCATCAAGAAACCAATTCTTTTTAGGATTAAATGCTTCTTAAAATTAGTCGTAGCGTTGCCCCCTTAAAAACTAATGGATTGATTCTCCGGGCAACGGAGCACATTTAGGGACGCTCGCATGGGTTAGTGGGCATCAGCAGACAGAGAGCGAAGCAGCAGCCTGTTTCAAAACTTTAAATTTAAACGCATCCACACAGGTTTGGGGTTTGGTTTTGATTTTTTTTTTTTTTTTTTTCCTCCCCCCCTAAAACGTTTCAACATCGGTATGCGAGCCAGGGCGTCACGTGACCCCTCCAGCCCTCTGCCTCACTGCAATGTACTGCAACTTCACCTCACCCCTGCTCGGCTCCTTCCCCGTCCGGAGGGCGAAAGGGGCAGAGGAGAGAGGCTCTAGCTGAAAAACTATCGCTACTTTTACAATACCTAAAGCCCAAGTGTTTGCAGCATTAAAAGTATATAAATACATATAGTATAGATACTTCCGGCACAGTGTTCCTTTAAGGTACGGATTGCATTTTCTACACATACGCATCATAGCTTGCTAAATTTGATCAAATCATTATATGAAAGCTAATATGTATATGTATATACACACACATACACATCCATAGTTAACAGATCTCCAGTTATCAGAGAGTCGGAATTAATACCTTTCAGAAGAATAATTCTTTGAACGCATTTCAGAGGTTGCAAGAATAACACGTATCTATCTAATAAAGCAGCTTGTTTTTTCCTAATGTGTGCGTATATACAGAAATATATAGGTATGTATATATATGTGTATATCATATATACGAACGCAATTTTAAGCACCTTCAGCGTAAGTCAGTTTTTAGTAAGACACCCTACCCCGCACTAACAATTTTTTAAGCAGACTTGATAAGAGTTCTGCCCCAAAACGGACATCACAATAGTGGCTGTGGCGTTTAATTAAATACTCTGATCCTTTACATTTGAAAATACTGCTGTTAAAGACAATATGATCTGAGGGGGGGGGCTGGGGGGGGGGGGAGGGGCATGTGAAAAATGGTGGACTGCTGTAATAAGCAGAGCTCTGATCCCCCTGTAACTTTAAAGCCTCTGGTATATTAATTTTAGTTAATAAAAGAGACAAAAAAACTATCAAGTATATATGAATTTAGCCTATTTTTTTATTTCTGTGTGTTCATAGTAAACATTTTTGTAAGTGACAAACACGGGCATATGACCACAGTATCACAATCAAGAAATTTTAAGACGACATTAACAATCACTCAAATTTATGCGTCATTTGCGCAACACAGGTTACATATTTGCAAGGTTTACCTATAAGTACAATAGGTATTAACATTTCACTACATTTAGAAAAAAAATAAAGGTGACCTGTTAGTGACCACATACATCAAAATATACACAACACAAACTGAAGGCAATCATTAATTTTGTCCCCTTCTGATTCATTTGAACGGGCAGTGCTGCAAACTGAAATAATGTTGCTGTTTTTTAAATTATTCCGTACACTGAGTGCATTTTCTAAAACCCAATCTTTGGTCTAAAAGTAAACAAACAAACAAACAAATAATAAAAAAAAAGGAACCCAAAAAAAGCAGTTCAGTAAAGAAAAGGATAAAATAATAAATGGCCAAAATGTAGCTCTTGGGCATCTTTCAGTGTTCATCCTGCTTAAATACAAATTACGTTTTAAGTTTTTCATAGTTTTCATAAATTTAGTGGTGGTTCTTTTTTCTCTTTCAAGGTCTGCACCCACCGACATATCCATGATAACTTATAATACTGCAAACATGGAGGATCTGGCGGCTTTTAGTGATAGACTTATCGTATTTGAATAAAAAATTGCAAAAGCAGTCACTATTTAGATACACATTCTACTATAATTTTGTCTTCCAAACTTCATAGTCTACAATGTAAATCTCCCCACATTGCACCTTGCTGACACTCCTCACCTTGGTGGAATAATAAACAACCCTAAAGACTGAACAAACGTACAGAAAATGGGGGAACTTAATAAAAAATACCTGGACTTTTTTGTTTTGCTTTTTTTTTTCTTTTAATTATCATTTACAATGCAAATGTGTGTAAAATGTTCACTTACAGTCTGATCCCATGGATGTTAATGTATTAAAGGGTTTGAAGAAGACCCCTGATTTTGATGTGTGAAATAATCAGAAAGTCCTCCGGAAAGTCCCGTTGTAAAACTTGGCAAAGAAGGTCTTAAGGACTCACAGGGGAGAGTGGAGGGCGCCTGTGGCGACGTGGAGGAGGAGGCTGCCCTGGCCGTCATTGAAGTGCTGCTTTGAGAAGTCATTGAAGGGTGAGGAACATGGGGGAAAAAGTAACTCGTCTGTCCTGCTAGGAGGTTTACAGAGCAGGGGTTTAGGGAATAGGTGCCGGAGCAGGGAACTGACAAGCCACACGGCACTGAGGCGGCCAGAGCTGCTGCTGTGAGGTGATGAGTGGCATAAGGTATCTCTCCATTGACTAGTCTATCAACACTTAACCCATTAGACGTGGAAAAGGAGTGGTTGTTTCCCAAGGAGTTTTGAGTCAACACTGAGCTGTAGGGCATGGGGTGGCTGGGGTAGGCGGACGTGGTCCCGTTGTAACTCAAAGTGCTGCTGGCCCGGGGGTGGTGCAGGGAGAGGAAGGGGGACATAGGCCAGTACAAGGATCCTGCCCTATCCATGAATGTCAGTCCGGTGGAGGTGAGCCGGGCGCCGCGCTTGAAGGCCAGCTTGGCCCGCGAGGTGGTGGAGCGCCGGCGGAGCTTGCCGGTGGTGCCCCCGATGAAGACGTCGTCGCTGGAGGGGTCCAGCATCCAGTAGTTCCCTTTGCCCGGGTCGTCGTAGTGGCGGGGCACCTTGACGAAGCACTTATTGAGGGAGAGGTTGTGGCGGATGGAGTTCTGCCAGCCCTGCTTGTTCTCCCGGTAGTAGGGGAAGTTCTTCATGATGAACTCGTAGATGCCGTTGAGCGTCAGGCGCTTCTCGGGGCTCTGCCGGATGGCCATCATGATGAGCGCGTTGTAGCTGAACGGCGGCTTCTCGTACTTGCCGTTCTTCTTCT